GTATCCACAGAGGGCTTTAAAATGTTCTGATCATATTTCTGGACATCAAGAAAGCCACATGCTGTGCAGTGCTATGTGCATAGTTAGAAAAGACCTAAAAAGACCTCAGTCTTGCACCTTTGGCTAGCTTTGAGGCACTACTCACGAAATGAAATGAATGCTAAGGCAAAGTTGTATAAGTGCCTGAATTGCGAAGGCATGCTCCAACATGTACACAAGCCCTAGGCAAATGAGGGAGGATTTATCAGTTCAAGGCATTTAATGAAAGCTATATCCAATCATCAGCTATCTACTAAACTACTAAGCAGACACATCTGTGATAGCAAACTGCAGGAAACAGACAGTTTAAAGAATTAGTCCAGGAATGTTACTAAACAAACAAAAAAAGAGGTGTATCCTAGGAATATGAAATTGATTTAACATCCAAAAATCAATTAATGCAACATACCATATCAACAGAATCAAAACAAAAATAACATGATCATATCAGTGTATTATGAAAATACATTTGACAAATACCTATTTTATGATAAAAAAAAAACTAGGTATAAAAAGGAATTTCCTCAACCTGGCTAGGAGTATCTAATGAAAAAATATAATTAAAATCATATAGTAAAAGATTCAGTGTTCTTCCCTTAAGATCAGGAGTAAGACAACAATATTCATGCTTACTCTTCTATTCAACATTATACTGGAGGTTACAGCCAAGAAAATTGGTCAAGAAAAAGAAATAAAGCACCCAGAATGGAAAGAAAGAGGTTAAACTGTTTCTACTCACAAATGATATTACCTTATATATAGAAATCCTTTAAAACTCTATGAAAAACCTATTAGAATAGACAAGTTCTGCAAGGTTGTAGATACAAATCAATATACAAAACTCAATAAACAATTTAAAAATGAAATTAAGAAACAATTCCATATAAATGCCACTGAAAAGAATAAAATACTTAAAAATACCCAGCACAAGAAGTATAAGGTATTATACTCTAAAATTTTAAATAATATTAAAAGATATTAGAGAACACAAAATAAAAGACAATGTTCACACATTCAAAGACTTAATATTGTTAAAATATTAACATTAGCCAGGTATGGTAGTACACATCTGTAATCCCGGATACTTAGGAGGCTGAGGCAAGAGGATTGCAAGTTCAAGGCCAGTCTCAGAAATTTAGTGAGGCTCTGTCTCAAAATAAAAATAAAAGGGCTGGGAATGTAGTTCAATGGTAGAGTACCCCTGGGTTCAGTCCTCAGTACTAAAATAAAGGCAATATTTTCCACATGGATCTACAGATTTAACATAATTTCTATGAAAATGCAAGACAGTTTTTCTGCGGAAAAATTGACAACTTGATTCTATCTTTCATATGAAAACATGAGAGACCCAGAATAGCTAACTCAATCTTGAAAAAAAGGTGTAAAACTCACACTTCTCATTTTCAAAGTTTAATACAAAGTTACAGTTATCAAGAGAGTATGATACTGGCATTGAGGATAGACATATAGGTCAAAAGAATCTAATTGATTCTTGAGAAGGAGGCCAATAAAATTCAATGGGAAAAGATGAGACTTTTCAACAAATAATGTTGGGGTTATTGAATATCCACATGCAAAAGATTGAAGGTGGACAACTACTTCATATCATAAACAAAAATTAAATAAAAATGAATAAAAAACTAAATATGATATGAATGAGCATTTTTACAAAGAAGGTATACAAATTGCCAATAAGCACATGAAATGATGCTCAACCCCATTAGACATGATTGAAACCTAAATAAAAACTACAAAAATGAGATACCATTTCACACACACCAGGATGGCTATAATTAGAAATACATAATAACAAGTGAGAATGTGGACAAATTATTGCTGATTAGAACATAAAATGGTCCTGTTGCTTTGGAAAACAGTATAGCATTTCTTCAACAAGTTAATCATGGAGTTACCATATGACCCAATAATTCCTTTCTTAGGTATATACCCAAGAGAAATGAAACATAGATCCACAAAAAACTTGTGCAAAAATGTTGATAGCAACATGATTCATAATAATCAAAAATGGAAACAATCCAAACATACATAAACAGATGAATGCACAAATAAAAATTTCCTTATTGTTTGGCAATAAAAAGAATGACGTACTGATATATGTTACAACAAGGATGAAACTTGAAAACATTATGCTATAAAAGCAGTCAGTGACAAAAGATCACATATTATATAATTCATCTTATATGAAATGCCCAGAATAGGCAAATCTATAGAGACAAAGGGTCAATTATTGTGAGAAGGTAGGGAACAGACATTGTGGGAGATAGAGACTAATTGCCAGTGGGAATGAGTTTCTTTTTGGAGCGATAAAAATATTCATAAATTTATTGTAGCAATGGTTACACATCTCTTCTTATAAATATACTAATAAAATTACTGAATTGTATGCTTAAAAAGGATGAATATCATGTTAATTATAACTAAATATTTTTTTAAAAGTTAAACAGTATTACCATGTGGCCTAGTAAGTCCACTCCTAGATATATATACTCAAGAAAATTTAAAACATTTGCCCTCACAAAAAATGTTCTGTATTCACAGAACAATATAACAGCCAAAATTGGATACAATTGATGAATGGACAAACGAAATGTGCTTATATCCATACAACTGAATATAATTCAGCATTAAAAAGGAATGAAGCCAGGTGCATGCCTGTAATGCCAGCTACTGGAAAGGCTGATACAAGAGGGACTATAAGTTTCAGGCCAGCCTAGGTACCTTAGCAAGACCCTGTCTCAAAATAAAAAGGGTTGGGGGGGGGCTGGGATTGTGGCTCAGTGGCAGAATGCTTGCCTCACACATGTGAGGCACTGGGTTTGATCCTCAGCACCACATAAAAATAAATAAACAAAATAAAGATATCATGTCCATCTATAACTAAATTTAAAAATAAATTTAGTTATACATAAATACAGTATCTTTATTTTATTTTTATGTGGTGCTGAGGATCAAATCCAGCCTCACATGTGCAAGGCAAGAGCTCTGACACTGAGCCACAACCCTAGCCCCAACTAAAAATATTTTTGGAATATAAATGAAAAGGGTTGGGAATGTAGCTCAATGCTTCAGTGCCCTGAGTTCAATCCCCAGTACACTTGGAGATGGAGATAAAATACTGATATATACTACAACATGAATGAACCTTGCAAACTTTATGCTAAGTGAAAAAAGTCAGTCACAAAAGACCACATACATGATTACATTTTTATGAAATGTAGGTTAGTGGTTGTCTAGGACTAGGGAAAGTGGTAGGAATGGAGAATGAGTGCTAATGATATGGTGTTTCTTTTGGGGTGATAAAATATTCTAAAATTAGATTGTGGTGATACCTGCAAAACTCTTCAATTATACTAAAATCCATTAATGTATATAGTTTAAATGGTTGAATTTTACAGTAAGTGAATTATATCAGTAAAGCTGTTAAATAACTCAGAGGTATATACCTAAAAGATGATAAAGAATTTATAAGAAACTTTAAGTACTGTATTAAGAAGGCTAAATCTCAAAGTACAAATATAGAACAAAAAGGACACTTTTAAATACATTCAGAACAAAAAGTTGAATGAGGAAGAAATAGGTCTCTGCCCTGTGCCAGCAGTATAAAAATGATAAATGACAAAGAGGCCAAATTCCTCAATTACTATTTTTGCTTCTGCCTTTTTAGTTCCCAAGAGGGAACTGAATATGATATTTACCCAATATGAGTAAAGAAGTAGTGAGGACCCAACTACTTTAATAAGAGTTGAAATATCCTGAGTCAGATGAATTATAACTAAGGGAACTGAGAGTAATTTCAAAAGAGACCATTGAAGCTATGTCAATGATCTTTGAGGAATCACAGACAAAGATGTTCCAGAAGGCTGGGCAGATGTAATTTCAAGTTTCAAAAAAAGGGTAAAAGTTAATTCCATAAATTACAGACCAGTGAATTTGATGTAAGTCTAGAATGGATTATTACAAGGCCATCTTACAAGAACCTGGAAATGGAGGAATGAGCAGTAGAAGCAACTTGAATTCACTAAGAAAAAGTCAATCTACACTAATCCTTATTCCTTTTATTTGCATTTTTACTAAGCTGTTAACTATGATACATATAGTAGACATGGTAGATCTGAACTTAGCGAGACATTTGACAAAATCCTTCACAAGATCCTTAAGAACAAAACTGAGGAATAAACTAAATAATTAATTAATCTCTCTGTTAGAGAGATTAATAATCATTTAAAGAACCATTCTCAAAGCATACAGATCACCAGGTCATTATCATGCTAGAAGCAGCTTTCTAATAACATACACCATAGGAACTTTCTAACTTTAGGCACTTGATCATTTAATTCCAACAAACTGAATAAAGATATGGAATCCATGCTAATGAGGTTTATACATGACAACATCAGGAAAGGATAGTGAATCCTTGGAATGACAGAATAAGGGTACTGATTTTATTTATAAGAGGTTGGGGAGGTAAAACAAAACAAAACTTGCCTGGACCAGATGAAATGAAACCAAAGGCCAGATCTAAATTTAATACCTGAATTAGAGAACGAATGCGTGGGAAAGAAATAATTTTTTTACCCTTGTTGAAATCATCCTCAAAAACCGAATTGCAGCTACTGTTAGAATGTGCTGAGCTGGGCATGATGGCAAATGCCTGTAATCCCAGTGGCTCAGGAGGCTGAGGAAGAAGGATCACAAATTCAAACCTAGCCTCAGTAACTTTGATAGGCCCTAAGCAACTCAGTGAGATCCTATCTCTAAAATAAATACAAAAAGGCTGGGGATGTGGCTCAGTGATTAAGTGTCCCTGGGTTCAGTCCCTGGTACCAATTAAAAAAAAAAAAAAAGATTGTGCTCTGAAATATCCCAGATGAAACACTGGCAATATCAATAAGAGTACAAAAGTGTTTTTAATCTACAACTTTGACCTTAATTACTCTTACCCTCTTTTAGACGATCTCCTTCAGCCTTGGTTTTTTTCTGTCTTTCTGATCCAGCAAGGTCTACAAGATGCAGCTTGGAGCGGAAGCTGCTATTCCTGTGATAATGACAGGAAGACACAGTAAGAATAATACACAAGTTTGAAAGTAACTGTGTATCAAAGATGATCTGCTAACTCTCATTTGTTTTCTAAGTCAGTTTAAATAGATCCATTGGTCACTAATGCTCACAATACTGACATCAAATGATGAGTCAAATGATTTGAAGAAGCAACCTTCATAGAACATAAAAAAGTCTTGACTATTGAAATTATAACTTACTTGTCATTTTTCTTTCTTTGCTCTATGGAAATTGTAAAGATGGCATGAGATCGGGATGACTGGGAGTTCATAGCTGTGGATGCCACAGTCCTACAGTTGTTGCCCTGCTCCAAACAGGAAACAGTATCCAAGGCAACTAGAACAGTCTTCTCAGTGAGTCCCACAATCTAATTCCAAGAAAGAAATTTTTTTCTTATAGTTAATATTTCAAATGCTTGGTAAGAAATACAGGATTGGTGGCTTAAAAAAATGTCTTGATACTCCAGTAGAAACTCAATAAACAGCTATGAAATAAGACTACTTTAACTAGAACTCTGTGAAATGACCAAAAACCAAAGTCTCTAATCTTCCCTAAGAACTTAATAAACCGAATGCTTGCTAATACTAGAGTCAGAGAAGATCCCTAGATTTTAGGGTAGTGATAGCCCCAAGTAAATGTAAATTTTGGCCCTGAAAGAAAACACATGAAGCTGGGTGTGGTGATGCACACCTGCAATCCCAGCAGCTGGGAAGGCTGAGGCAGGAGGATCACAAATTTAAAGCCATCCTCAGCAAAAGCAAGGTGCTAAACAACTCAGTGAGACACTGTCTCTAAATAAAACACAAAATACAGCTCGGGATGTGGCTCAGTGGTTGAGTGCCCTGAGTTCAATCCTTGGTACTCCCTCTCTCAAAAAATATAACAAAAAACAAGAAAACAAGTGCAACACAAACAGCTATGGTATTTCCCTTTGCTAGTTTATTCTCCATGTGATTCTGTGCATCTCCCTGTACTTCTGACCCATTTGATACCTCATTTTCATTAGAGGAAACAGCAGTATATAGTTTTTGCAGCATCAGGAATTCAGGAAAATAAGGTCTCATGTTTGGTACTATATTCATTCACTTGGGAGAACTTATATGAACTGAAATTTTGTGGAGCCTCTGGGGAGATAGGACTAGATCTTTATGAAGTCCTTTCAAACCCCAATGTGACAATTTTTTTGGCAATACAGTGGATAGCACCCAGGGCCTTGCTTGTACAGGACAAGTGCTCCAACACTGAGCTATATCCCCAGCCCAAATATGCTGATTGTATTACTCCATAACTCTTAAAACTGTAACTACATCCCTAATTTCTAGTCCTTTATTTCTAACTGCCTGCAACTTATTCTTTGAAATCAATAAATTATAAGCCAAACTCATTTTCCTTCTACCAACACTGATTCTCTACACTATTTCTCCATTTTTATTAATATCTCTATTCTCATTATCTCGAAACTTCAGATCACCTTCAACTTCTCCCATTTCCCCATATCCCATCTATCACCAATTCCTAGTCATTCTTCTTTTGAATCCATCACTTCCTTTTCCCTTCCAAATCTACTTGCTAAGTCCAGGTTTATATTATTTCATGTTTGAAAAATAAGGCAACAGTTTCCTCAACTGGTCTTCCTCACCCTTGTCTTTTTTTTTCAATCCATTTCTGTTTAATTTTCTTAAAACCTTGCTTCCCAAAATGTCACCAAAGTACTAAACACTGTGCTAGATAATGAGGATACAAAGACATTTTAAAATGTTCTCCTAACTCCAGAAGCTAATGTAGTTGGAGAAATATATATGTAAGATAAAAAATTGGTAAAAATTAGCCATAGCAACCTTTCGTTCAGAAGTAGTAAATAATTTAAATTTATATGCTATATTTAGAGGGACAGAAATAGCTTTTCACTCTGGCTTCACAATCTGGTCCTAACACATCTCCTGTTATTCCCCAGCCTAAATCCTATAGTCCAGACTAGTCTAGGCCTATTCAGCTTTCCTGTTGAAGGTATTCCTTACTACAAGAGTACCCTTTCTTCTCTCTACTTATTTAAATACCATCTATCCCACCTGAAGGGATATTTACAAACTTGTCCTTATCCACTCAGGTTTGTGTCAGGAACACATTTCTTTGAATTGTACATCTCACCTCAACATCATGTGGGACTTAATTCCTTAGAACAGGACATGTGAAAGATGTTGGGACAGGGTCCAATGCTGGTTCAGTACCAACATTCTTTCGGGTGACAGCAAGTATTTTGTACAGGTTTCTTAATGCCAGGTTTCTGAACTACCTTCCTATATTCCAAACTTATGGGACCTGACCTTTAGGGCTTGCTTTAATACCTAGTTAACAAATTAATGATCTGGAAGGGAAAAAAAATCTCTGAAGCACAGGCATCTACCCCTTATCACTTCCTTAAACCTGCTACTTTCCTTTTTTTGTGTGTGCAGAAAAAAAAAGGGAAGGAGAAGATGGGTAAGATATTATTTCTCCATATTTTATCAAGTCTGAACTACCTATTTTCACCCATTTCCAGCCTCTGATTCTCCCACCCCTGAATACTCAAGTTCCATCTCCAGATCCTGCACCTATACCATGTGACAGAGGCTCTCACAAAAGTGTGCTTCTCCCTATAGTACGTACAAATTAAAAAAAATCATATTCAATTTTTCATTTTTATATCATTGTAGAGCTTAGCACAATGTGTATTACAATACTGTCCAACCGAATTTTCTATAATCATGGATACATCCTGTACCTATGCTGTTCAATATGGTAGTCATAAGTCACATATAACTACTGAGCACTTGATATGTGGCTGGCAGGGGAATTGAATTTTAAATTTTATTCCATTTTAATTAATTTCAAACTAAATAGCCACTTGTGACCATACTAGAAATTTCAGCCTCAGAACTCTGTAATAATTAATAAATGTTTAATTGATCTTAGCATTCCACAAGAAGTAACAGGAAGGTGATAAAACTGAATGTGAGTCCTCCCTTTCTTCCCCATAAGAGCTCCCATCGAGAAATTCAAGATAAACAAAGGCAATTTAGGACCACACAAAACCTAAAAGACTGAGATATTAGTAGTCATTTAAAACCATAGTCCCAAAGAAAAAGGTATATGAACTTTAGTAGTTGCCAACATTTTTAATAATATCAAATAAAAGATAAACACACCTTTATGCCTTCTTTCGGATCTTCCCGGATATTTATTTGAGAGGCTTTCTCACGAGAAGGGCATAGAAGATCCAAAATTTCTTCATTGTAAATCTGATATTGTTGAAAGTAAAGTGGTAAAAACAAGCTGTTAACAGCAATACTCTCTTAGTATTGGAACCAGGTCATTTTAAAAAATACTCTGTGGGCTGGGAATGTGGCTCAAGCAGTAACGCACTTGTCTGGTACGCGCGGGGTGCTGGGTTCGATCCTCAGCACCACATAAAAATAAATAAAGATGTTGTGTCCACCAAAAACTAAAAAGTAAATATTAAAAAATTCTCTCTCTCTCTTTAAAAAAATAAAAAATACAGGGATACTGCCACATTGATGTTCATAGCAGCACAATTCACAATAGCTAGATTGTGGAACCAACCCAGATGCCCTTCAATAGATGAATGGATAAAAAAAAATGTGGCATTTATACACAATGGAGTACTACGCAGCACTAAAAAATGACAAAATCATGGAATTTGCAGGGAAATGGATGGCATTAGAGCAGATTATGCTAAGTGAAGCTAGCCAATCCCTAAAAAACAAATGCCAAATGTCTTCTTTGATATAATGAGAGCAACTAAGAACAGAGCAGGGAGGAAGAGCAGGAGAAAAAGATTAACATTAAACAGAGACATGAGGTGGGAGGGAAAGGGAGAGAAAAGGGAAATTGCATGGAAATGGAAGGAGACCCTCATTGTTATACAAAATTACATATAAGAGGTTGTGAGGGGAATTGGGAAAAAAAAACAAGGAGAGAAATGAATTACAGTAGATGGGGTAGAGAGAAGATGGGAGGGGAGGGGAGGGGGGATAGTAGAGGATAGGAAAGGTAGCAGAATACAACAGTTACTAATGTGGCATTATGTAAAAATGTGGATGTGTAACCGATGTGATTCTGCAATCTGTATACGGGGTAAAAATGGGAGTTTATAACCTACTTGAATCTAATGTATGAAATATGATATGTCAAGAGCTTTATAATGTTTTGAATAACCAATAAAAAAACAAAGAAAAAAATTAAAAATAAATAAATAAATAAAGATACTTTGTGGCTTTCTGTACTTAAAATTCTGTTTACAATGAACATATATTAGAATTAAGAAAAAGGGTCATGGTGTATCTCAGTGATAGAGTTCTTAGAGCTTGCCTAGCATGCACCAGACAGTTGGTCATATCACTCCCACCAAATACAAAAAAGGGACTTTAACCTTATATGTAACCATTTGCTGTTTTACAAGAATGAATTCCATATTACTTGTAACAAAACTGAGACTACTCTTTTGGGACAGAATTTCCTTTTTTTAATTTTTCAATTGTAGTTGGACACAATACTTTAATTTTGTTTATTTTTATGTGGTGCTGAGGATTTAATGCAGAGCCTCTAAAGGGCTACTCTACTACTGGACACAAACCCAGCCCAAGGACAGAGTTTCTTAGGAATAGCAGACCTTTTAAAAAAATTACATGGGTGTCCAAATTCAGTTCTCTGATGGTGTTCTAACAGAACCACCTTCATCAACTTTGTTAAAATGTGAACAGTGTGGGCTGGGCTGGGGATGTGGCTCAAGCGGTAGCGCGCTCGCCTGGCATGCGTGCTGCCCCGGTTTAATCCTCAGCACCACATACAAACAAAGATGTTGTGTCCGCCGAAAACTAAAAAATAAATATTAAAAAAAAATTCTCTCTCTCTCTCTCTATGTCCCCACTCTCTCTTTAAAAAAAAAATGTGAACAGTGGGTTCTTAGGGGAGGAGAGTATGAAGGCTGGGAGCAAGGAAAGCAAAAGGGAAAAGTAGCAACTAATATTTTAACAGCAAATAAAACTGTAAGTACTGAGAACAAAGCTTAACACATGGTAAGCACTATATTTGTTTGCTATTTTTGCTGATGCTAATTATTTAATATGCCACCTGGCCATAGTAGGTGCTCAACAAATATGTGTTTAACAACTCAATATTTCACCCTTTATTTTTGTACTGAGGATTGAATCCAGGGGTGTTATACCACTGATCTACATCCCTAGTCCTTTGCATTTTTAAAAATTTTGAGACAGGTTCTCACTAATTTGCTGAGGATCTGGCTATGTTGCTGAGGCTGGCCTTAAACTTGTAATCCTCCTGTCTCAGCTTCCCAAGTTGCTGAGATTACAGTTGGACACCACTGAACCCAGCTTCACCCTAATTTTTAATAAACTTTTTCAGGAAGCAGCAAAATTATAATTTAAGCCTCAAAAGAGTAAAGGTAAATCAAATACATTTCTATATACTCTATAGGAAATCAGTAACAGAAGCCAAACTGGAATTTAAAAATTCCTATCATCTTTTGATATGGCAATGCCAATTCCTCTAACAATCAGATTAAATATACTATCCCAATAAGAAAAGAAAAGAATTGGGTCAGAGCCAGATCCAACTGAGCCAGTACGTTTTCTCTATCAATTTATTAAAATACAATTTACTAAAAATGTAATTTACTATCTGAGTCATGCCAGGAAAAATGATTTGGATTTATTTTTCTATCCAAAGATAACTTTGAATTCAGAATAATTAAAGATAAATCACTTACCTCCAAGTAAGATACTTTCAGAGTAAATTCAAAGTCACTCTTTTTATCAATTTCTTTAAATAGCAGTTGTATTACCCTAGGAATGACCCCAACTGTTGGTTCATTTTCTTGCTCTGCAGTGTATGCACCTCCCATTGAATAGGTTTTTCCAGAGCCAGTCTGCCCATAGGCCAGGACAGTTGCATTGTATCCTAGCAAAATACAAGTCATATGCATAGTGTTGTGCAAATATTTTCACCCAATCAATATACTCCATTTCCTTCAGCAATTACTTGTAATAAAATTGAGATGGCTCTCTCAAGACAAACTCTTAGGAATAGCAGACACAAAGAAAAGCTTTGTTAAGGCCTTGACTTTGCACTATTCAAAGTAAACAAATAACCAAAAAAAAAAAAAAAAAACTAACCCCAGATTTTGACCTCTCTTGAAAACTCCCTAAGAGCTAGGATGTCAAATACTTAAAAGATAGTGAAGGTGGCTAAGCCATGGTAAAAAGCCACTGGGAAATTTATAATCCTACTATCTCCCTACCTTGAGCAATTCTAAATTATGGGAATTAACTTAGAAACTACATAACTAGAAGGGATTCTAACATGTATTCATTTGATTAAGATAGTCTTCATTCGAAAAGGCAACAACATTGTTTTTTACAATTGATGAAAATATCCATTCCCTTTCTGAACTCAAGGAGTGTACCTGGTTGATATTATCAGGCTCCTCACTAAAATATTATCATTGAAGTATGATTCAATGTAATATATATCCTTTGTTCTTATAGAGGATTGATAAAGAGCCACCTATTCAAAGATGTTCATGACATAATTACTCAAAAATAGCAGGTAAAGCAATTGTTAAGTGTAAGTGTAGGTACTAGAAACAATCAAAAGGATATATAAATTATTAACATTCTGATATTTATCTTTAAATAACAGGATGGTAAGTGATATTTTTTGTTTTATTTTCCTTTCTACTTGTTTGTATTTTCTAAATTATTAAATGGAATGCCCATTGAACAATCATTGTGTTTTCTGTTGGTACCTATATAATCATGACTGTCAAATTTCTGTTTGAGTTTAGATTCAGTAAAAATGTTTATTTTATAGATCAATCTTTATATTTTCTCTTGTCAGAGAATCCAGATTACTAGTTACTTGGACATTCTCCTTTTATCCCCTAAGTTGAAAGTTATGATTGAAATTAAACCCACCTAACAACTATAGCAAGATTTAAAAAATTAACAATTAGATAATAGATGGGCTATTCTCACCTTAACTTCAATATTTATAATTCATTATCTAATTATAAGATCTAGCTACTAAAACTGTAAGCATAGCACCTAGAAGGAACACTAAGTCCAAATTTACTTCAGGTGAAAAAAATGTAACCTTAGGAAGATGTCTCTTATTAGAGTGGTAGACATGTTCTAAAGGAAGATAAAACAAGCTTTCTGTGTTAAATAATCACATTTTTATCAAAACCATTACCTACCATTTATCAAGATAATTTTGGAATCTAAAGGAAAAACTTTTAAGTTTTGAAACAATGTGTTAACCTAAATGATAAGATTGAAGTTTTGTGGCATTTATGCCAGAACATCAGAAGATGCTAAATTGAAAGTTTTACTGTAATAGATTGCTGGTATCACCTGGCATAACTCTGCGGCAAGAGGATAACATTCCATAATTTTCTGCAATACCACAGATATTTGTAGATAGGAACATCTCGGGAAACCAGGTTTCAGAACTTTCCATAAAATGCCTAAGTCTCTATAGTATCAGGAGTTTAGAGTATAAGAGGGTGTTGTTGAGGTGAATATGAAAAATAATGGGCTTTTGCAAATGAGGACAATGTTAACACCATGTATATTGCAATCACTTTTGACTTTATATCATCTTTATAAGACTATAATTTAATTTTCATAGTTTGCCAAGTTAAGAATATGAAAGTAAAACTATAGTACTCTTACTAAGTTATTAGTAAGAGTTATAATCTGAAGAAAATGACCACATAGTGAAGCTTCTGATTAACATCGTTTTAGGAATAGCTAAAGAAAAACAGGAATGGTTAATTAGAAAAGAATTAAACAGAACCATGTAACAGTCTTCCAAATATGTAAAAAGAAAAGATTGACTTTATAGTTGAGAAACCTGCCAGATTAACACCTTAATCAAATGATAAAAATGAACATCAACAGTAATGGAACAAATCAAAATTATGTCCTAACTGATAGGATTCAATGAGAAAAATACAGCATCACTCTTGTTATATGTCTACTAAAAGATACACAAACTGAATCTAATAAAAACATCAGACAACTAAAATTGAAAAATGTTTACACAATAACTAGCCTGTAATTTTCAAAAGTGCCAAGATTGGGGCTGGTGTTGTAGCTCAGTGGTAGAGTGTTCACCTCGCATGTGCAGGACCCTGGGTTCGATCCTCAGCACCACATAAAAATGAATAAGTAAAATAAAGGTATTGTGTCCAACTACAACTAAAAAGTAAATATTAAAAAAAGTGCTAAGATTATGAAAGCAAAAAAAAGGACTCAGGAATCATTTTATAATGGAGACTAAAGAAGCAGCACAGCTAAATCTAAAGACATGTGATTTTGAACTAGATCTTTTTATTTCTATAAAGAATACTATTGAGAAAGCTTGAATGGGGCTTTGTAGATGGCATTAATGTGGCAATACAAATTTCATGAGTATGTTAATTATAGTGTGTTACCACAATTAAGTTTACCCTAGAAGAAAGTCCCTCTTTGTAGGAAATACACACTAGCGTTAGGGGGTCATCAGGTCAACAAGTCATTTCAAATAGTTCAGGGAAAAAGTTCTTTATACTAGTCTCACAACATTTCTATAAGCTTAGTATCCTTAACCTTTGAAGCAAAGTGTTCAATGTGCACTGAGCCATGACCATTTTTAAAAAGGTGAATATATATGTTAATAGCTGTTTTCTGTAAAAAATAAATTCTGCTTATCTAGAGGGATGAACTAACATCACTGTGTAGAAATTACTGAGAAATAAATTTCTTCTCAATATAAAGATCTAACACAAAGATATTCAAACACCACATTTCAAGCAGACTACCCTATGAGTCTGTGAGTTCCCTGTTAAGAAAAAAAAAATTAACCAGTCACTAGAAGTTAACCTAACAGTTATTATTAGAAAGCATTTCTCTACTGAATGGAAAGTTAAAATAAATTGTGTATAAATGAACATTTCCACTTTGAGTCACCATGGTTCTACTTCTTTTAAATGAATCTTTATTTTGTAACTTGAATAACCATTGTACTAGAATAACAATGAGACATTTCTCAGGTACTCCTCTCTTTTAGAACCCTGCCCTGGTCTTCAACATTAAAGCCTTAGCTTCTACAATAAAGATTATTAACTAGCCATAGTATTCAGGGGCTTAAGGAAATCTCCTTCCCCACCTCAAAGAATTCTCATCATTCAAGACCTATATTAAAGCTTCCCTATTCTGTGAAATTCACCCTAAATCCCCCAAACAGGATTAGTGCCATACTTTTTTCATACCATTTTGTATGACAGTAGTGCTAGTTCTGTAGCAGGACTGACTCTGTGGTATGTTTTTAACTTTTAAAATATTTTTCTTAAAGGTAGGTGCAATAAATTTGTTAAAAATTTTATGTATTAAAATTATTTATGTAGTCATCTATCTCTTCTGGACTTTGAACTCCTTCTGGGCCTGGAAGCTAAATTATTTATCTTTGAATGAATAATACTGAATGAATACTGAGGCCTGACTGACACTCAAGCAGGTTGGCACACTGATCACTCACCAAAGACCTTATTGTACTCCAGTGAGGTTCCAGGCAAACGAAAAAATGTACACATTAAAGATGAACAGAACCACAAGATACAAACACAGTATAAATCTAGCTTTGAGAGTAGAGAGACTTTTACAAATGTTTCTAGGTTTCACAAGTGTTATTAAGCTGTGGGCTTTTCGAAGGCAGGAATCACATTTCATCCAATCCTATATTTGCAGTGCCCAAGCATGGCACAATGTATATGCTCAAGAAATGTTCGGCAAATTAAATAGCCTCACCTTTAAAAATGCCTTTTATGAGTGGTGCTACTGCTGTATTGAAGACCTCTTCTTGTTCAGTGGAGGGGTCAAACACAAAATCATAGGTAAAGGATTTATCAGTACCAACGACCACCTACGCAAGGCAAGGGACAAGACGTAAGGAAAAAAAAAACAGCTAGACCACGCCCCTCGCTGCCATTCAGCCCCAGCTGTTCACAAAGGAGCCCTGGACTTTGCTACGCACCTGAGGCTCCCCCGGCACGAAGGAAAGGCACATCTGACAGCCCTCGCTAATCTCTTTAGGGACTAGAGGGCGACAACGCAGTGCCACCCTTACAGGAATTCCCTTCACCTCTTCCTTCATCATCCTAGCTCAGCACCGTCTCTGCAGGGGAGAAAAACAGCTTTCTGATGAATCTTGGTATTTAGGCAAGGGTAGGAGTACCTCCAGGAGGGTGGGAGCGTTGGGAAACTCAGCCTTAGCCGTGGCAGCCTCCCCTCCCAAGGGATCGCTGCCCCAGATTACTGTTGGACTTGACCGCGACTGAGCGGCCGGTCAGCCCGACCCGAAGAGTGAAGTGGCATTTAAAATGAAAAGAAAAAACTTCAGCGAACCCAGCGACAAATAACAAAGTCCCAAGGTAAAGGGAATGGTAAAATCTGAGCTAAGATGTGCCCCCTTAACTCACCCAACTAAACGTCCCTTTCCCCGGTCTTTCCCGGTCTCCAGGCGCCCTGTTCCAACTGGAGGTTTAACCGCCAAGTTTCAAATCGGTTCCAGAGGCGCCAGCCAATCGGAGCGCAGATAGCCTGCAGGCCGAGCACACACGTCGGCGCGCGCAGGATGACGCGTTAGGGAAAGGAAGGCAAGTTGGTCGCAGCCAGGCCCCGCCCCTTTTCGACCCTACTGAGGATCTGCTTCCGGTTCCCAGGTTGTTTGGCTGTGAGCCGAGCCAAGGGAGGGTGAGGGCTTTGCGGCTGCTGAGGTGGTTCGGTGTTTAAGCGGTGGTGAGCGCGGGACTTGGGCGGAATGCAGGACGGGGAGCTGGAAGGTGGCTGGTGGTGAAGGAAGAGTCAATCTGGGGATCTCTAGAGAGCGTGGAGCGGTGCTTGTCCCGGAGTCCCTTTGAAGAGTTGAAGTCAGCACTCCCCTGGATCTCAAAAGTAGATCTTTTTAGACGCCACCCTGATTTCCTCTTCTCTAGGATGAAGACAGTATCAACTGTTTTGCTGAATTGTTGTGGAAAATGAGATCATGTCTCTAGAATACCTAGCAGAGTGTTTGGCATCCACATATTTATCAAAGTTAATAGTTTCTTCCTATCTTTTTTCTTCCTTCGGTCCTCCAAACCTTAAAATCTAGATGTGGGCTAGACCCATAGACTGATAGCCTTGGAATGGGTTGGAGCTGCTTGCTGAAACTTGCTGGGCTGCCATCTCTTTTGAATTAGTTGTCAGCCTTGATTCGCCTTTTCTTTTTAGGGTCTTGCCTGAGATGGACAGCCGAATTCCTTATGATGACTACCCTGTGGTTTTCCTGCCTGCCTATGAGAATCCCCCAGCATGGATTCCACCTCATGAAGTGAGAACCTTCAGTATTCCTGAGTAGGGAGTTTTTCCCCTTGGTTGTGATATGATGTATAAAAGGTAGAATGACAGTGTTAGAAAGCTAAATGGAGAATGAATCTTAGCCCTTGTTTTAGCCGAAGGACCCAGAAGCCAAATTATTAGCATCAGAGACCAAATGAGAACTTCTTATGGAAGCCACTTGCTGGGGTCTGTTCACACCAGTGAATTCTGGAAATCCAGCCCTAGTTTCCATTCTGTCAAGAGGTAAAGAAGTGGGGAGCTATAGAGCTATTAGCATATCCCCATGCCAAACATCTACTCATTTGAGTAATGTTTATCTGTTCTACTTAAACAAAGTCTATGACTTTACCTTTTCTTGACTTCAAGATGATGCATTAGTATTAGTCAAAAGATGGTAAATGTGACATCTAAGCTGGTAGTAAGATTTCTGAGGACTGGGGTTGTGGCTCAGTGGTAGAGCACTTGCCTAGCACATGTGAGGCACTGAGTTCCATCCTCAGTGCCACATAAAATAAATAAATAAATTCTAAAAAAATTTTTTGAGATTGTTTTGTCTTGCAGAGAGTATACCACCCAGACTACAACAATGAATTGACCCAGTTTCTGCCCAGAATTGTCACACTAAAGAAGCCTCCTGGAGCTCAGGTGAGCCATGGTGCCTCTTATTCCAGGCTACATTTGTACATACCACAAACTGGCCATGGTTGGGAAATGGATTGGAAAGCAGATGGGGAGGTGAGGAAACTTCCTTTCTTATGGCTAGAAAAGCTGAGCTACCATTTCCACAACTTCTCATTTCCCTCTGAGGAACACATGAGCCTAGCTATTTTACTGTGATGCTACTAAATATTCTGTGTGTTCGTTGTCTATGTTGAGCCCCCATTCCATGCTCTTGTCTTACAGTTGGGATTTAACATCAGAGGAGGAAAGGCCTCCCAGCTAGGCATCTTCATTTCCAAGGTATGTATGCCTGGTAGGCAATATGGACAGCCACTTCCTTTGTATATCAGATTGGAGTACCGTGATATCCCAAGGGCTAGTGGGCTCCTAGAATTGGCAAAATGGGAACATCCCTTTGTCACACAGAGCTTTGCATTTGGCAAGCCCTCTATCTCCCTACATTGTCACAGAAAAAAATAATAGCACATTACCTTTGAATAGCACCAAATTTCACCTGCAGTCTTCTGAAATTACCCCATCCCAATCACACGTATTCTCTACTAACAGGTGATTCCTGACTCAGATGCACATAGAGCAGGACTTCAAGAAGGAGACCAAGTTTTAGCTGTGAATGATGTGGATTTCCAAGATATTGAACACAGCAAGGTGAGTACAGTACTTTAACTGTGGTGATGACAGAAGGCATCCCAGGTAGGACAGGTTGGACAGGATTAACGTAAACATGTAACATGATAAGGAAGCATCTCTCCTAGGGAAATGTACCAGAGGGATGGAGTGGCACATCCCCTCCCCCATTATGATTGAGTCCTGGGTTTTTTTCTCGTCATTGGTACAAGTTCCTGTGTTCCTTCCAGGCTGTTGAGATCCTGAAGACCGCCCGAGAAATCAGCATGCGTGTGCGCTTCTTTCCCTACAGTAAGTGCCAGTTTCTTTTTTACTTACCTGACAAGGCCCTAGATAGGAACTCTTTAAACATTGATGACTGAAAGCCCCAGATGTTGGGGATGGGAAATCAGGAGCCTACGCCTGAAAATAACATGCTCTGTTCCTCCTTTTCTTTCTTCTTTCCCCCAGATTATCATCGCCAAAAAGAGAGGACTGTGCACTAGAGAGTTGCAGCCCATGGCCCTCCATGTGGAATCTGCCAGGACAAACTAGCTAGGCCCAAGGGAAGCCACTTGGGAAGTTCTACTCTGAGCCATTCCCTAGCATAGTGGGGTGGGGAGGATAGAGAGAAAGTTGTCAGCTTTGTTACCCAAACTGCACTGTACTTTTAGTTCCCTAATTTTCTAGGCAAGCTTTATTCTCTGAAAGGAACAGGATGAAAATGTCTAGGTATGATCTAGCCTGTGGGCAACCTAGCTAGGAATGGCAACTGACATTTATTGGTTACCATGGGCTTAGTACTTACACATCTTTATCATTTTAATTATAGAAATAAGTTAGAAAATATTTGGAACTTTCCATCTGATTGCCTGGCCATTTCATCTATCCTTGTACTATCAGAATTGTCATACATGTTGGGTACTCCAATAAGACACTTTTGCCCCTTCCTCCTCCTATCATCTCCCCCAAAATGTAAAGTACAGTACTGAATAAATGTTGTTGTAACTTTTGAATGATGTTGATTGGATATAAGGTGCCGTTGAGGCCCAACAAAGCTTTTTCAAAAGAGAAGCACTGGAAGAATCAGTAACACTATACCTACTTTCTAACTGTCTATGTTTGGCCAGAACTTTAGAGAGGCCAAGCAACCTGAGCTACAGTATAACCAAGGAATAGCATTGGGTGAAGGGTACTGTAAGAAACAGTACCCTTTCCCCTGGGAGCTTTGGAAATTTCTCTGCAGGGAGAATATAATTTTCCTCCTTTCCCAGATTCTTTATCTGGTACCTAAACCCAGGAAGGAACTTAGATGCATGTGGACTTTCGTTTGTTTTGCAGTGCTGAGGATTAAATCCAGGGCCTTGTGTACACTAGGCAAGTACTGTGCCACTGAGATACCTCCCAGCTCTTTTTTTATAAACTTTGAGAAAGGGGATTACAAGTATGCACCATCACATCTGACTAAATTCATTTCTTTTTAGAGGCAGCAGTTAAGAAGTAGGTTCCCAGTTTTCAACCTGTAGGTTAAGTAGTACTAACTGTGAACTTCCCTCTTTTTTCCACTTGAGTCCCAAATAACTTTCTGCCATGTTCTTAGATATTTAGTTGCAATCCATTGTTTGAAATTTTAGGTTATACCTATGCTGCCTCCACTGGCATGTTCAAAATACCTATTTGGAATTTTAAAGGTTTTCTAGTGAGGTAGGGGGCAAAGTACCCCTGTGATTAAAGCCCAAAATTTTCCTTGAAAGAATCCAGGGGATTTAAAATATGTATTTCTAGTTATTTCTCCTGGAGAGTGATTATATTGCTCTGAATTAGAACCTGGAAATCTGAATTTTTAAATAGGAAAGGTAAATAAGCCTTGAGGTCTCTGAATTAATCTTCACCCTCTTCTATAGACATTTGTATAGACAATGCGAAATGATAAAAAGGGCCAAACGGTGATAACCTAGAGTTAGTGGCTACAGATAGATACTTCTGAGGGGAATAATGCTCCCCTGGGACCAGAAACCCTAGAAACCTTAAACCCATGACCTTTCTAATCCCTGGTATCTCCTCACAAAGTAAACAGCACAGTAGACACTCCCCATAGAGATTACAAGTTAAGTATGCCAGAAGTTTTAGTTACATTTTGTTGTTCAGAACAGTCTTATTATTCTCCAACATGACAACAACATTGTCACCTCTTTCTGCCCATTCAACTTCTACCCTCTTGTCTGTGTCCTTGAAAAAATTGATGCCTATAAGAGAATACGTTGCAGAGTGTTGACACACTTGGTAGAGGTTTAGAGAGAATAATGCACTTGTCCTTTCTCTGCTAGTCATACCAATCTCCCTGTTCCTTCCCTCACTACCCACTTTTTCAAATAAAAAATCCCATTATACCCACTTATGATGTCATAGATAAACACTGTAATAGTTGAATCACAAATGTAGCTAGAAACTAAGGAGCAAAAGCACTCCTGGCCAGCTATGACCCATAACTGTTGCTGAAGCTGCTTAAAACAAATGTTTAGGATGAAGATGAGAAAAGGTAGAAAGAGACCAGACTTTTAAGATCTAGAACTTAACAAAAACAGGATGAAAAGAGTCAAGAAGACTGGGTAACTGAAAAGTGACTGCTACAACTTCAGAACTAGTGGCCTACAGTCTTATAACAAATCTAACCAATCTCAAGATACTGTTTGGATTAAGGTAGACCCTATTAAGGAAGAATAGCAGTTTTAATGATTCAAGACCCCTTGAACTTTTTTTATGTTACATTTGGAGATTTGATAAGGGCAAAGAGAACAAGAAACATCATAAGGCTTGGTAATTTCAGGAAGCTTCAATTTTTTTCTTTTCCTTTATTGACAGGTAATGTGTAGAAGTGCTACCCTACTATGATGAGTAGACCTAAGGGGTTTAGACAATCAGTGGTTTTCTGCAAAAGAAGCAAATAGACTTTCTGAACTCACCCTGTAACCCCAATATCAGGCAGGTCTAATGGCCATTGAGGAGGTTGTCCTGGTCCAGTTTCCCAGTGTTTACAATAGATAACTGAGGGAAGAGAATCCCCAGATGAGTTGGTTAAGGAAAGGGGCAAAAATGTACCATATGACTTGGTGGTAGGCTCATTTGGCAGATGCAGTCACAGCTGTCATTCTTGAAGTGGGTGATAATGGATATCTTCCCCATTGCAAGATAGATAAGTAGGTCAACTTCCCCTCAGAGTCTCTACAAGCTCCCCCCAACACATGTGCTTCAAACTTTACCAACAAGGAGAAAATCACTTCCCAGAGAAATCCCCCCAGCCCCAATCCCATTTCTTACCATTCACACCTTCCTATTTATAACTTCCTATTCCTAAACTCCCATCCCAGATCCTCACTGCTTTGTGAGTCTGGATTTTCACAGAGCCTTTTGTTTTCCCTTGGTCTCCAGGCCAAAGTGTCTGACCTTCCTCTGGAAGATCAAAGGCATACATCTTTGCAGGATAGTGGTGGGAGTAACACTGGCTTTCTGCATTAGGCCCTGCATCTCTTGATATCACAGTGGGCTCTCCCCAACAACAGCTTGTGACAGCAGGCTTAGCTACACACCCAGGCCTGGGCACAGCCACGCCACCTCAGCTTCCTCCCCACGGCTCCTGCATTGCTTGCTCCTGATGCTAGTTGGTGCTCATTGCACTGGGGTGATGACAAGAGTAGGGTGATGGGGTGGGGGTAGGGATGGCTGCAGTCAGAGAAAAAGCTGAAGGACCCACAGGGGACAGGAGGCTTGTCAAAAGGAATCCAGGAGTCCAGGTGTCTAGTAGGTTAATCTCATCATGGGGGGGGCGGGCAGGGAAATCCTTATCAGTAGTTCTGTTACCCTCCAGGAGGAGGAAATAGCAAAGAAAGTGACAGGCACATCTGGACAAAACGATTTATTAGAGTTACAGTGGGAACTCCCACGCAGGAATATCAGATCTGGGCACTCAGCTCCTCTCATCTCCCTCCTCTGCCAAAGCCTTCTGCTTTTCCTCCCCGCCGTCCTCCTGCCGTGCAAATTCCTCAATGACGATGTCCTCAGAGCTTGCAGAAGCAGCAGAGGAGAATGGAGGGTTAGGAACTCCTTTCTGAATATCCTCCAGGTTCACTCCCTTTTCTTGATCCCTTCCCTAATCCCTTTCCTGATTGTTTCATTTCCTCTCAGATCTCCCAACACAAAAGCACTCCAGGAATATTGGGAAGGAAATAAGGATGGAGGAGGATGGGACTCAGGGAAAGGATTAGAAAATGAAAGAAGGAAGTAGGGATTAGGGAAAAGGGGAAAAAATGAAAGGGATGAGTGGAAAGGACAATTATAAGAAGAGGATCAGGTAGAAGGTGGGTGATGCAGAAAGAGGAGGGTTTATGAAAAGCTCTGAACTATGACATGGAGTTAAACCATATGTATCCACTGCAAAGGTATTGAAAACAACATCTTTGGGAAGCTTTTTTACATCCCTATCATCTCAAAATGTAAGGTAGCAATTAGCAATAGAGGGGGAATGGGGCCTGTTCCCTTACCTCGTGGTCTCTGTAGCAAGCATGGGAGAAAGAGAAAAATGGAACTGAAGCTGATAAGGGCTTTTTAGTTCCCTGAAGAAAGGTCTTTACTCATCCTTCCCACGTTTCCCCTGAAATCCTAGACACCCAAACTATTACTGTTCTATTTCTACCCAAACCACTGGACTCCCAAGTCATGAGATCAGATCTGCTTGGTCCCCAATCCTCAGGACAATAGTTCCTGTAATTCCCCCCTGGTCACTTACCTTGAGATGGCTTTGGGTGGATCAGGGTCAGTGGCAACTCCACACCAACATCACTGCAAGGATCCCAAGGTGGAGTTATTTATCCTCTAAGCCCAAACCTTTTGACCTCCCTCCCTCAGTTTTCCAGTTCTAGGATGCCTTCAGACTTTTTAAAAAATATATTTATTTTTTAGTTGTAGTTGAACACAATACCTTTATTTTATTTATTTATATGTGGTGCTGAGGATTGAACCCAGGGTCTCACACATGCTAGGCCAGTGAACACTCTACCATTGAGCCATAACCCCAGCCTGCCTTCAGACATTTATTAGTCACTCTTTGTCTTCTTATCCCTTTATTCTCCCCTTCTTAACTCCAGTCCTCTTTCCCCGCAGTTTCTCACCTGGCTGTCAGATCTCCTAGGATTCTGTAGGTAGAATGACACCCAAAATTAGCAGTTGGAAATGGGAAGAGGCTAACTAGTTTTACTAGGGGGTGACAATCATAAAGCCAACTCAGCCACAGAATGGTTTCTGCAAGGAAGGTGGCTTGCTCACTGAGCTTACAGGTTTGGGAACTTAGTCCAGGAGAAGGGGAGAGAACTTGTTGGGTTAGTCCAATCATAAGAAAAACAGAAGCAAGAAACCTTTGGCTCCCCAGCTTCTGCCCAGATCATCCCTGAACCCTCACTTACCCTCCACAGGATACCATCAGATTGACTCTGACTTTGTAGGATACCAGGATCCCCAGTAGCTCCTTGTTCATTCCAGGTCGAACACTGGAAGTTGTAATATCCAATTTTGTGTGTTTGGTTGGGAAGGAATTCTTTCATTCCCCCAAGTTCCTTCCTGTACATTCCCATCACCACACCCTATTTTGTCTTCTCCCAGAATATCTCCCAGGGTCAAATCTCTCCTACCTTTGGGAACCACATTTTTCTTCCTGAAATTCAGTTTACCATATTACCCTCTATTCAAGAGCCTACCTTATTCAATGTAACTACTCTGTTTGACTTTCAAGACTCACAATAATCTGGCCTCATCTACTCTTTCTAAACTTTTGTGCCTTAATTCCCTAGTACCTGGAATAAATTGTAGACAGATCCATCCTCTCTCTATAACCTAAAAATGCCATGTGGAGTCCCACCTTTTAGCCTCTGTCCATGCTGTGGTCCCAGTCTGATAGTATCCAGATCTTATATATTCTTCAAGATGTAGATCATTCTGTCTTTTATAAGAACCCCTTGCCAGCTAT